CATTTAAAGGCTAAACCTAATTTATAATCCCTTTTGCTAAAAGTATGTAAGTCTGGAAGAACCGGCCATTCTTAGGACCTACCACTTAAAGAGAATTTCAAACTCAGATTCCTATCAACTAAGCCAGAAGACTTTGTGACGTCTTAAAGGATTAGCTTTGTCAAACAATCCATATTGTCATCTATACCTCCACATTCTGCTTTCATTAAATTATTTTTTCTGACACTTTGGCTTACCAGATGTAAAGCTTTGGCTTTTTTTCCCAAATGTTTTTTTTAGAAAAAACCTTACTGTATAAGTAAATATTACATACACTCTTTTAATTTAGTCTACCATACAGCCAAATGCAGGTCATCACTGTGAACTGCTCTCTCTTCACTGTCAGACTCCTCCAATTTAGTGTGAGATACCTGAAACCAAGGTTGTGTTTCTTTTTTGCTTTAGATTTTTGTTAATCTTTTTCTCAAGAACAATAGTATCTGGAAGCTAATAAAGACTTTCACTTAAAAACATAAAATTAATTAAGGTGATACAAAGGTACTTTTTACTACTATTTTAGTTGTAGTAAATATTTAAGTAAATATTTAGTAAATATTTAAAAGTAAGATTAGGGGAAAAAGATGTTTTGATTCCACGTTGTAGACAGGGAAGTAAGACCGGAATAAACACCAATACAGTCTGGGGCTGACCTGCTAGAAAGCAGCTCTGCAGAGAAAGACCTGGGGGTCCTGGTGGACTTACAAACTTGAGCCATGAGCCCTTGTGGCCAAGAAAGCCAGTGGTATCCTGGAGTGCATTGGGAAAAGCATTGCCAGCAGGTCGAGGGAGGTGATCCTGCCCCTCTAGTCAGCCCTAGTGAGGCCACATCTGGACTTCTGTGTCCAATTCTAAGCTCCTCAGTACAAGAGAGACATGGAGCTCCTGGAGCCAGTCCAGCAGAGGGCAACAAAGATGACTAAGGGACTGGAGCATCTCTCTTACAAGGAAAGGCTGAGGGAGCCAGGCCTGTTTAGCCTTAAGAAGAGACAACTGAGAGGAGACCTCATCAGTTGTCTTTATCTCAAGGGTGTCAAGAGAACGGAGCCAGTCTCTTCTTGGTGGAGCCAAGCAACAGGACAAGAGGCAATGGGCAGAAAGGGATATACAGGAAGTTCCACCTGAATATGAACTTTACTGTGCGAGTGATCACACACTGGAACTGATTGTCCAGAGAGGTTGTGGATTCTCCCTCACCAGAGATATTCAAGAACCATCTGGACACAATCCTGTGCAATGTGCTCTACGATGACCCTGCTTGGGCAGGGAGGTTGGATCAGATGACCCATACTGGTCCCTTCCAACCTGACCCATTCTGTCATTCTGTGATTCTGTAACTTCTTGTTTGGAAAAGTCTTACAGCTAATAACAAATCAAATGGTTTTGTGTTTTGTAAATATGGAATGAGGTTCTTGTCGTTGCTCAGTAATTGACTACAGAAACGATCTGCAACAGCTGAAGGGCTCCAACGAATGCAGAATACAGCCACTGCTGTGGAATGGAATATACTGGTCAATAGTTAATCTGTGATGCAGACAAGCTGGCTGGGTAAAAAATTATTGGCTTACTATGGCTAGAACATGCTGAATTAAAACTTCATGTAGCTTTTACTGTCAGCCACTGCAGCATCAGTGAAAACCTTCTTATACGGAGGCAGGAGTTGCTTCTTTAAGATTGACTAGCATAAATTCAATAATGCTGTTTGTCAGCAGATGGTAGCAGATACATAAGTATTAGCAGATCCTTTATGTACTGTATGTTCTCTTTATTTTTAGTGGGGAATGAAATGTGAACAGAACATACTTAAAAGCTAACAAACAAGTACCTTATTCTTTTATTGGGAAAAAACTGTGTATTTTTCATCTTACAGTTTCTTTGTAGAGCCAGCATTCTACAATTAGATCCCAAGTTTTAAAGTACTAATATAAATATACAGTACCAAAAATAATAATATATATTTCTGTTCTTATAATTTCCTTCCTCATTACAATATTGTACAAGTAGATTGGATGAAAGATTAAAAAAAAAAAAAGTTAATTGGTAATTTTTTTTTTTCCCCATTGTCACAAGTCAGGATAGAGAGCACTAGACCAGCAGCATTCTGAACAGGACTGTGCATTTCCCCAAAACAGGGCCCGAAGCTGATCTGCTTTATTCACAACGTGAAGGGAGTTGATAGGGTTGGCCGGGGAAGGTGCTGGAAGGTAGGAGGGATATGCAAAACTAGGACACTGGATTGGTGAAGGATATATGCATAAACATGAGGGGGAAGGGTAGCAACAGGGTATAGACAGGGATTGGTTGAACAGATATGGAGCCAAGAACTGTCCAATGGTAGCTGACCCCTGCTCCATGGAGCTTAGCCTATAGCAACCACTTGTAACATTTTTCGAAGACATGGGGCCTCAATTCAGCAATGAGTTTTAACCCAAAGTCCCTTATAATAAAGTCCTTTTAAACCATTGTACTTCCAAAGTCCATTTTGTTAACAAATTCTTCTTTCCATTGTTTGTATGTCTGGTCAGCTTCAGGGCCATCTTCTTCACTTCGTCTACTTTATCTAGGAAAGAATCTAAAATCAGACATCCTAAGTTTAGATTGCTGAAGAAACAGTCTGGATTGTAAAAGCCTACATATGATAGGGAATACCAAAACAAATGCTAAATTATTTCTTGTGGTAGTCCTACATGCATGTTTGGTAGCAGATCATATGGCGCTGTACTAGAAACAATTTAGAAGTGTCTTTTATACTTCCTGCTGAGGGAAATGCAGCTCATATTCTCCGTGAGAAGATGTAGAAGATGCACAAGCAAGTGAATGGGGCAGCCCCCCACCAGAGCATCAATCAAGGCAAAGATAGCAAGTGGGCACATGTGGGGGTTAATGACAGGTACACCCAATTTCTGTGCTTTGCAAATATCCCACTGCTGAATTCTGCTGTGAGGACAAGGGACTGCCCACTTCTGCATCTCCTGCCTGTCTCACAGCCTTGTTCCTGGGGAGTGGAATGTTGTACTGATGTCTTGGTTAGCCTTTTCAGAGCTCTGAGAGGCGTGAGCAGTTTCACTGTGAAAATAGCCTGAGCCTGGGAGAGGAGTCTGGATGATCATCGTTTCTGTCACTTCCAGGCCATCATTTTTATCTGTCCTGAAGATTTTCCTTATATACATGGTTGTGCTCAAAAGCTGTCTTAAATTTGCATTTGCTTCCCAATGCAACTGAAGTGAGCCTGGGTCTGGTATTCATTCTAATACAGGTTTCACTGAAATCCTTCACTTTCCCTGTCCTTACCATTAACAAATAATTATTTTTGAGTGCCTCCATTATTTTTTGCAGCAGCTGTCATCTCTTTACATTTTTATAGTACCAGCTTTTATTGGTTATGATGTACTTGGAAAACAAGAATAATAGTCATAGTATTAAAAACATGTCTTTAGAAATAGATTTAAAACTCACCGTGGATTGTTTTGTGTACATCATTTCTGGGTTTCAGGTTTAGATGATGGATACTACTTTTTCTAACATTGAGGTTAGTCCTGCTTTTGAGAATGAGAGTTGTACTGGACGACCTCCAGAGGTCTGACCTGTATTGCTCTATAATTTTTAATTTCCAGTGATATGGGACCAACTGGCTGGGCGGCACCACTACTGAGCCTGGGAGGGGCAAGAAGCTGAACTATCAGTGTAACCTGGCAGCAAACAGTGCTAACAGTTTCTTGGGCTATGTTAACTGCATACTCAGGAGATTAATGGATTCAGCATTCATTAGAACACATCTACATCTACCTTTTGATACTTCAAATACAAGGACAATAATGATAAACTCTGAAAATTCAGCAGAGAGCTGTCAAAATTTTCAGGGAGTTCAAACCTTTGTCCTGGGGTGGGGGCTGGGGGAGTTGGGCATGTTTGGCCTGAACAACAAGTGGCTCCAGGGGAAACCTACTGGCAACCTGCCAGTGCTTATGAGGAGCTTATAAAAAGATAGATCCAGACTCTTCTGGTGGTGTGGTGTGAGAATGAGATGCAGTGCACATAAATTGAAACTAGAAGTTTGGGCTGGATATAAGTAAAAGCTTTTTCCTCATGAGGACAATCAAATAGTGGAAAAAGTATCCAAAGAGGTTCTGGGTTTTTTTTAGATTTTTCAGCACCCAGGTAGATAAAGCCCTGAGCAACCCAGTCTGGCCTTCTAGTGAATTTTGCTTTGAGCAGGAGATTAAAATGACTTTCTAAGGTCTATTCCAGTCTGAATTATTTTAATTCCATGATTCCATAATTTAAAATGAGAAAAATCAACTGTCTAGTTGTATTCACTAAAACAGTATTGCTTTAGCCTGAAAGTTAAATAGATGCTTTTGTATGTTTTTTCAGAATCTCATTCCCTTAACATCATCTCTTTCATCCAGTTTCTGTGAGGGCTTTTTTTCCTCATTTCAAAGTTTCAGGCATCTTCAGGCTTATTTTTATTCCTCTGCTATTCCCAAACTTTAGAGGCAGTCTGAAATGCAAATGTCTTTTTTTTTCTCTACCTACTAACAAGACCTCCTATTAAATTGTTCCACTAATCCCACCAAAGATCTCAGAATTATTTCAAAGCCCTGCTGTGTTCTGGCAAAGCAACCAGATTTTATTTCTGTTAGGATCTTTGTCCAGTCAGGGTGAAAGAGGCCAAGTGTAGTTGAAAGCAAAAAGCAGTCCTGACAATCTCAAATCCTG